TCCGGGAGGGTGAAAACTGCTTTCCCGGGGCTCCGGAAGCCCTCTGGAGGCCAGAAACAGACCCATTTCCAGACTTCCTGAACCTCCACACGTGTCCTGCAGTTTTCTGGCATGATGAACGGGCCACATGGAGACTCCTGGGAGGGGCAGGGTGGGAGGGGAGGGGCGATGTGGATGGGGCCAGCTAGGAGTGGGATTTGGGGGTTCGCCGAACTGTGCAGAATCTTCGCTAGAGTATCGCCTGAACCCGTGCGAATCTCCAGCAGCCCACTCCTGTGTTTAATAGTCCAGAAAAAGCTGAGACGGCTTCCTTTTAGAAGGGGAGAAAAATGTCAAAAACCCCTCTTGGACCATGAAGGTCTTAGACACTTTTTAAAATCTTTTTTTTTTCTGAAAAGGAGAAAACAAATTGTTATTTTAACCTGACAAAAAAAAAACTATTCATATAAGGCAGTGTTTCTCAACCTTGGCAACTTGAAGACGTCTGGACTTCAACTCCCAGAATTCCCCAGCCAGCATTCGCTGGCTGGGGAATTCTGGAAGTTGAAGTCCAGACGTCTTCAAGTTGCCAAGGTTGAGAAACACTGATATAAGGGAACAAGGGTTCTAATTCAAGTACAGGTAGTCCTTGACTTATGGCCACAATTGAGCCCAGAGTTTCTGTAATTGCTATGTGAGACATTAGTTAAGTGAATTTTGCCTCATTTTACCACTTTGCTTGCCACATGCATAAGCCCCCCCCCATGGTGCAGGTGGGCAACTAGGCCACGCCCATCATGACTACACTCACCTAGCAACGGGGCAGCGAATCCATCGCTGCAATTTTTGAATCCCACCCCTGATTAAAGGAATTCCTTGAAGTCACCAATACTGGTAGAAACCAGATGTTCAGACATCTGTCACTGGACAGTTACAAATTCCAAGCTCTCGGTGGTCACATTATGTGTAAGGGGGATGCAAATGCACAAGACAATCAATTTTGGGGGCGGGAGACAGGCTATTATTAGTTTAAGTGAGATTTAAATTCATACTCCCATATGCTACATTCATTTCTGAAGCCGTTTCCTTATCCAGGCTGCCCACTGACACATTCATTTCTATTTGCCCTGTGGCTAAGCACCAGAACATGGTTAGTCCCATCTTCTTCAGCTGGCACCCAGTTGAATTAATGGACAGGCTTCTCTATATTTAAAAAGCTGCCTCTCTGAGGCCATCCTCTTTTTTTGCAGTCGAAACTTTGATTCATTTAGACAGCTTCGGCTCCCAGTTACGGCAAATGGGGCAGGTTCTATTGTGAACATGATTAAATTATATTCCATCCCTCTATTATCCCTGTTTAATACTTATGGAGTGCCCAGAATTTGCTTGTTTGTTTATTCAATTCCCCCCCCACCCCAGTTTCCATTTCCTCTAGAATGGTGCTCGCCTCTATATAAAGAACAGAAACTTGAATTCACTTTTACATCAAGTAAGAACAAGAACAAGCCATGTTGAGCTTTGCAGAAAGTAGTCTCTGGAAAACGAATGAAGATATTTTGATCTCTGCTTCGGGACTTACTAGATTCCCTACGATCTGGAACGTTACAGTCAGTGGTGGGAATCAAAAAAATTTACTACCGGTTCTGGGGGTATGGCTTAGTGGGCCTGGTGTGCTTGGTGGGCATGGATTGGTGGGCATGGCAGGGGAAGGATACTGCAAAATCTCCATTCCCACCCCACTCCTGGAGGAAGGATATTGCAAAATCTCTATTCACACCCCACTCCTGGGGAAGGTTTCTGCAAAATCTCCATTCCCACCCCACTCCTGGAGGAAGGATACTGTAAAATCTTCATTTCCTCCCCACTCCTGGGAAAGGTTACTGCAAAATCTCCATTCCCTCCCCACTCCTGGCAGAAGAATACTGTAAAATCTTCATTTCCTCCCCACTCCTGGGAAAGGTTACNGCCTTCCTTACAGGATTAGCCCTGTAAAGTGGAAAAAAACAAAAGGAGATTTCTTCCAACAACCAGTTCTCCGAACTACTTAGAAAGTTACCAACTGGTTCTCCCGAATAGGTGCAAACCGTCTGAATCCCACCACTGCAGTTCAACATCACTTGTGTTGGGGGGGGGGCTGTGATGGCCCAAGCACTCTGCTAGAGAAAAAGGGCTCCTGAGTTCTGTTTTCACCTGCAACAGCCTCTTGCAACCCTCTTGAAAGTGAAAGCAGAGCTCGGGAAGGGCTGCTCCCAACCTCCGCTTTTGCTGGCAGTGGCACCATGGGTTGGTCCTTCGCTGCTTCCAGGGCGGCCCACGGGCCAGATCAAAACACCCCACGGGCCAGATCCAGCCCTCGGGCCTTGTGTTTAACACCCCTATTCTAAATCAAGTTTTAACAAGTTGTTGTTCATGGTTGCTTTTTGCTCTCTTTTTTTTTTAATTAAGGGAGAGATTTTTACATATTGCCCACCATTGGCAGGGAACACATGTCTGTCTCCATATTCCGAGGCAGATTCTAAAGCCACAGATTGTGAAATATGGCTGATACGAACAGATTTTTTTTTTGTAGAGTTCCTTGTTACTTCACATTTTCTCCCCTCAACCCCCGAGAGGAAAATCTAATAAAAGAACACAAAGTCTCCAACCTAAAGTTTCTACACTACCTTGGTTAAATGCCATTCCACAAAGCTTATAGTGTAATTATAACAGTTCCCTTAGGTAAGTAAAAAAAACATCTGTTAGTAACACATAGCAGGTGCTAGCAATTACACATACTGGGGTTTTCCCCCCCTTCCCTGTTACCAAAAATGGTTTTAATTAAAAAGGATTCTGCTGCCTGAAAAGCAGGGCATACTAAGTCCAAACACACTTTTGTCAGTGTGTCTAGGTCTAATATAGTCCCCAAACTTACATAAAGATATTTCACTCAAAGGGAAATAAAAGGAGTCAAAGTTAACAAAAGGCTTGTGTGTCGTAGCACAATCCAGAGCCTCCGTTCCGAATTGAGTTGTGATTCACTTTTTTTTCCAATTTTTTTTTTTTTTTTTTTTTT